GAAAATTACTAACACTTTTATTAATCTATTTATTACTTGGCAAAATAATTTCTCAATTAGCATAAAAAACCGATTCTCATTGCTCCTCATACAATAAACTGCTATTTTTCAACTAGTATGAACTGATTAAGCAAATATGGATAAAGGGCTAGCAGTGGAATACAGGACGCACATTCCGTCTTATATGAGACTCGTCAGTTGGATGTACCTACATCCCAGAGTTGATGTTCACTAAGGGACGCGAACCCAGTACAGTTTGCTTCAAACGCTATCTCGTTATTCACTTAGCTACTGAGTCCTGATAGACCACATGCTTGTGCAATAGAGTGAATTTTAAATTCATTTGGTGTTGTTTTACTTGTATCTTATCATTATTATTTAGGACTGCAATTGATCATTAAAACAGCTCCAAGTGAATTTATTATGAACTATCTTTCAATATCTCTTATCTCTCATATTGATCACATTATTTTTATATCAGTCAAATGGGTTTTAACAAGAAACATTAATCTAACGTTTTTATTGTGTGTATTTCTCGATCACTCTCGATTGCGTCATCATCGCTTAACAAAAGGACAACCAAACTGCTTAAAATTACAAGCGCTAAACCATTCCACTTTATTGATGTCTTTGTTTCGAAGTTCTAATGTGTTCTTTATAAGATGTTTGACAATCATTTGAGTTTTCACGGAAAACTTTTAGTGTCGAATCAATGGAATTCTATATTGGTATATTTTGTATGAAGTAGGTTTTTATTATTTTTGTAACCGCTCATCTCGAAGTTATTGAGATTTGTCTTATCTCATTTGAATTTCATCTCTGTAATTTATTTTAAAAGAACAACTACACGAACAATAGACAGTTCTAGGATTAATTTAATCACCATGCATTATTTTATTAATTAGATCACGTTTATTTAAGTCACTGCGTAAATTGAATGTATTGACTTTGTTTATGTTTTGATGAGTGATAACTAAACGTGAAACAACCTTGAGGTACACCATTGCACAAAGATTACTTTTCAAATGTCAGACCATTTGCGTTTGAAATGACGTTTAGATTAAGAGCGAATTAAGTAAAATAGTTCTTGATTCATGCTTCAAAATACTTTAGAAACATTCAAAACGACAGTAAACATTGGGACCATTAATGTACCACGAGACCGTCAGTTGACATTATTTTTTTAGGTAAAATAACTCATTTCTTCTACTTGACAAATTTGTACTGTAAATAATAGTAAGCACATCACTGGAATGCATATTATGTACTGCAAGCCTATCTATAGAAAGCATTATCTCAGAAGAAACCTTTAAAGAACATTTAGTACAACATACGATCAGCGAAATAAACCAAGATAAAAAGTGATACATTTTTTTCTAAATTACTCAACGCTACATTGTTACTAAAAACTTGTTTAATAATCGATTGATAAAGACTATCGTCATAAGTTGTGTCTTCAATTCACAGTGAATCCATTAGGTGTGGAGTTCACGATAACCAATAGATGAATAAACAAGAAATCTATCATTCCTTTATAAGTTGAAAAAGTGAAGTATATGAAACTAAATATTCAATAAAATTGATTCCTACATAAATAGATGGTCAACCAAAGTGAAGCTATATTCGATACAACTAATTCAGGTAAGTAAATTCGTTGTATTGATCACCATGAGGATATCATTAAACTTCGTTCATATTTAGTAACACCAATCTTTAAAGATTACTAGTGTTCCTGAAATATACCCTTCAATTAAAGATATATATACCCATATAAATAAAATTTACTATTTTGTCATGTTTACAATAAACAAACTAATACAAGTTAATATTGAACATAAATTTATTCAAAAAAAAGTTATCTGAGTAAACATTCTCATGAAAAGTCAACATTCCTGTTTTAGTATGCACAGTTGTTATTTAATTTCATATGAAAATGTCAATAAAATTGTTTTTCTATCACATGCCTTGGGGTAACTCAATGAAAAGTTGTTCTTCTTTTCTTTCTTTCTTTTTTTTGAATAAAAGTTTATAATTTTTAACAACCTATGATTGACATAAACAATATTGTTGTTCCTTTCGAATTCAATTTCATGTTATGCAAACAATGCATTATGTACACATTGTATTTAATAAAAGAATATTTTACTAAATGTTGAACTTACGAGAGAAAAAAGGGAATATTTTCACACATTTGAAATGAATGGAAAATATATTTTAAAAGAGAACTCTATTCTAAGTTATATATATATATATATATATATATATATATATATATATATCCTTAAGTATTTGTGTTTTCTAAGAGAAAGTTAAATAATATTAGTTACTAAGCCTATCTTTAAAATGTAAGATATAAGTTAGAAAGTGATTGGTTATTAGAAATAGTTTAGTAAAACAAAATTGATAAGCACTATATTTAAAGATAATCTAGAAAAGTATACATAATTAATTCTGAAATTTGATTGATCAACAGGTTAGGTTGAAGGTTTATGCTTTTTATGACATTCAATGCTAAGGGTTGTCTAATGTTCTTTGATGAGGTTCATGATAGATTGATATCATTTATAGTACAATTTCAAACCTATAGAGAAGTATGTATTGAGAAAGAAAAAAGAAACCAACAGTAAATAATACTAACTGTAATGATCTCTTTTATAGACACAAATAGAGTTAAATTAATATAGGTATCATTATCAAGGTTTGATTTGATAATTTTGAATAAATTGAACATTGAGTAGATTGTTATAAATAAATAGTATATTTGTAATATCCCAATGAGTTCCGTTGTTCCGTTGTACTTACACTAAGCCACGAAACGTCAGAAAATCTAATTTTTCTACTCATTGGGATATTACAAATATACTATTTATTTAAGTTAATATAGTTTAAAAAGAAACATATTTTGTTTCAATTCTTATCAATGAGATAGTTAGAATTCTTTTCTCAAAGATGCTAAATCTTATTTCATAATATGATATGATAAACCCTATTTCTTAGTGAATTGTTCATTGAAAATCTGTTTTTTATTTACCCATACACACTTTTCAATCTTTAAAAATCTTTTTATAAAATGAGACACAACTTGATAATCAACAGTTGTTGACATGAAATTCTTTCATGATGTTATTCATAATGTTGATTGTAATCATAATGCAGTTAACATTTTTCCTAACCCCATGAAGCTTGAATTCAATGCACCTAACAGACATTAATTGATAACTAATACCATTCAATTAATTTAATTCACTTAAGACATTGTATGAAATGCTTTTAAGTTTACACAACTAATGTGTAATAATAGTTGCTATTTAAGTTCATATGAATTCTTATTTCATTTTTGTACATTTCATTTTTTTTTAATTTTTGATGTAAATCATTCTTTACTTAACTATTGTTTTACATTATTCTATTTTATTTGTCAAACAACCAAGTGTATGGTAATAATTTTCATTTAATTGATTGACATTATGGAAATTTATGAAATATTTACACCCTACATCATGCATACACAATATAGTACATCACTAACTCAAACATCCCTAAGAATTCCTCCTTAGATGATTCTATTACAATTAACTTTTGAAATATCATCAAAGATTAAAATAGACGCCCTAATTTTGGTGATGCTTTTTTCTATTTTGAAGCGCTAGATCATAGTAACTATAAACATTACATAGATTTTTTTTTCCTCACACATTATATAATTAAATGTAAAATTAGGTTGGATTAAGTTAGTCTTAACATAAGTTGAATGAATAAACTCCAAGCTATTGTTCTTTTATTAATAAACCAAATTAAAGTGTTTAATACATTCATTAATTGCATTTCTAAAACGTTGAGGTCATTAATTCATGTAGTAATTACGTTCAAATACAAAGTAAGATGAAATTGTCATAAATTCATGTATATTGATGAAGTAAATTTAGAGTATTATGAGATTGTAACGTACGTAGTTAATGTAAAACAACACATTTGTTCCACGAAATTGGGGGTTTGATTATTGATAGCAAATAGTGGGATATCTCGTACAATAGCTTTCAAATTTCATCAGTAGACAAAGACAGAATAGATTAATGGCCTATAAGAAGCTCATATTGTCAGTAACAAACTGCTTTATTATTTTAAAATCAAATATAATAATACCAATAATGTATATAATGCATGATCTCAAAGATTAGTTTCGATCATTACTTACATCTGCTATCTCTCGTGTAGCACATACCGGCGAACAGGATTCTCCGACCTACTCTGTCCTAGGCTCAACTTTCCATCTGTTTTCAAGTGCTACTCATTCTTTTGATATTTGCCTACGATTCCTAAGGCAACATGTCTTAAAGTCTGCTCCTGTTTTCTTCAGAGGATCCCAAGTTAGTTTTCCACGTTTCAACTCCTTACAGTAGACATGTCTTGATGTTGGTTGACAGTTGTTTTGAGTTCCATATGTTTTCAATTGTAGAGATGAGGCGTCTGTTTTTTCTTAACTGTGCTTTTACATTTGCACCGGATTCTCCTTGTTGATCGATGACGCTGCCTACGTACGTGAACGTTCCCACTTCTTCCAGAGTTTTTCTATCAAGTGTGACTGAGTTGGTGTTCTCTGTGTTGTATTTGAAGATGCTGCTTTTTACCTTGTTTATACTGAAGCCTACTACTGCAGAGGCTGCTGCTACACTGTCAGTTTTGATCTGCATATGTTGTTGTATATGTCATAGAAGAGGTAGGTCGTTTGAAAAGTCCAGATCGTCTAGCCACATTCAAGCTATTCACTGTGTTCCGTGTTTCCCCTGATATGTGGTAGTCTTCATAATCTAATCGACCTCCTGAAGCAACAGAATGTGTAGGAGTAAGCAGCCTTGTGTGACATGGGTTCTCACTTGAAATGCATCTAAGTTTTAATAAAAATAAACTAAAATTTGGTTCTTCATCTTAGAGTAACATTCAGATAATTTATGACACAAAAAAATAAAACTGACGACTTCTGTTGGTTATTTATTTTGTAGGTGAACGTTCACTGCAAACATGGAGTCAATATCAGTTAAAATTGAACTTGATTTTCAAAGTTAACTAGCATCCAACAAAAAAATCAATCAATATTGAACAACATGAGAGTAAGGGAAAGATTTCAACAAGATTCATTCAAATTAAATTACAATTCTAAAACGATCAGTTTCACCAATTCACAATGGCTACAACAATTATTATCCATTGCAGTACGTTTAAATAATGCTACAAATATTCACGAAAACATATCACCTTCAGATAAAACTACCACTATTCACAACAATATTCATAGTAGTATTGACAATGGAACAGTATCAACCACTACTGGTTGTATTATATTAGAATTATATGATAAAAATCCTATATTTCTTTATGATCAAGAAGATTTTCATGATATTGATTATTCTGTATTAAAAATGCAAATTATTGTTTGGACACAAAAATATATAAAACCAGATGATTTATTTATGGATTGGTTTGAAACAGTCAATCGACAAATTCATTACAATAAAAAAGGTTATAACAAAAAAGAGAATTCAATAAATCGTGATCATGAATTATCAGTTACTAATGTGACATATTGTACTGAAAATTTGAGAGGTTTAATGATTGATCATAATCATAATAACCATATATTTGATGGATTAAATAATTATGATTTAAATCATGATATGCAAAATGCCAAGAATGAAACAAAGTCTGGTAAGTTGTAAACAGAAGAAAATAGTGAGATTAGATGGTGGTTGTAGGTAGTCGACAGGAAACCCTGTACCCGGGTTTCGTGCTACTTGGCACTCGTCAGCAAGGTGTACCTGGCGGACTCGATCCCGTGTCACCCAGCTTCACAGTCAGAGACGTTACCACTGAGCTATCCAGGCTGCGACTGACCCCCTCTCCTGTTCTAGCTTACAGCGCCTATATTAAAATCTCTGTGTTTTTTAATGCTTATAGAATAAGAAAGTTTATCTTAACTACAGATTCAGGAAAAAATTTTTATAACCAGGTATTAATAAGAACTAGTCAAAATATTAGTTTCAATGGTAGACAAGCTATGTATTATCAGTAAGTTAAAAGAACAGTAATTATTCACTGAAACTTGGCATCATTTTGTAATACATCTTTGACATTTTAAACCCAAATAGATTTTTTAAAATCATTCTAATATACTGTGCTGGAACTGCACCTGTATGAGACGTTCAATTTGAAAATATATACTGTAATCTCAAGTGGAATGTTTTAATGTTATAACAAAAGTAGAATATCGAAACACAACTTGTTATCTACGAAACGTGGAATTCGTTTTTGCTTCATAGGGTTCTAAAAGTAGAAGTGAAAATTTCTATCGTTACTCTTAACTTTTCCATAATCTATCGGTTAGTGGTATTAGTATACGGTGAAAACTATTTATAAAAACATGTAAAATATTACTCATAGAACACAACAGTTTTCTTTTCTAATTCCAAAAAGAAACATACATCATAAGAAAAAAATATTAATCAATTCGACAAACAATTTAGACAATCAAACTATTACACTAATAGCTTTTTCTCTCAAAGTCTATAGACAACTCAATTAGTATAAAAGAAAACAAATACGATAACAATATATAAATAAAATTAAAGTTACTTCACTGGTTAGCCTTTAGATGTAGCATAACTTTCACGACATTCTAATCAGAAGCATTGGCACATAGAAGTAAAATGATACCTTACGCATAATATCACGAATTGTTTCAAGCTGTAATACCTAGGAAGCTTGAATTTCATCTTACTAAATTAGTAATATCTTTCTCTTCATTAGATTTGAAAGTCGTGTGTGACGTCATGTTTGTAGACTTGTAAAAGGACTCTTGGACAAAAGTGCCTAGGACTCCCTGGTATTAGTGGTCTTCTGGTTTAATTGAATTCCTGATGTGATTTATTTTCATTGAATTTCATAGACATTGTTTCAATTTTTTTAAAAAACAATTAAATCAAAAATAATAATAATAATGTCAAAATTATACCTAATAGCTTCAACTACATTTTATATATTTCTGTAAATGAACCATAATGTTTTTATATCCTGTTTTTTGACCTCATAGATAAATATGGTGGAAATGAAGTGCAAATTTTAATCGTGATTACTCTCTGTTCTGTGCTCATTATTTGCTTTCTGATGGCTGTTATTTTACGTATTAGGTAAGTAAAGTATTCTACATAGACAAGTAAAGATAGCTTTGTTTATTGTTTTATCAAGCACTTGGTTAAAACATTCGTACTGCGATAAAAATAGGTCATAATTTTGTCAATTGGATTGGATTCAGTTTGGAATGTTGTACTTAAAAGTCGATTATCTCTTACAAGTTTACATTTTAGGGGACGTTTTACTTAAGTTGCTGACAATCTAAGAGGTTAAACCAATAAAAACTTTATATACTTTACTAATAACGGAACTGTTTTCTCTTCGTAGACCAGGATGAGAATATTACTATCAAATTATTTTTGATAAGAAATATTATTTAATGCAAAGATTTTAAAAATATCAATTTAATGTAATCTGCCAGTTCTATTTGCCGTCTAACTTATATTCAATTTAGAGATGATTAATTGTTTGATGTGGGAAACAAATAATTAAAAGCTCAGACATCAGTAAGCTAAGAAGTTGCAACAGCTTACATATTGGCCATACGTTCCATGGCATGACTAATCAAGAGCTCGAAAATAATTAATATGATACTTATATTCAGAATTTGTACAATTTGAACAGGACAGCCTTAACTAAAAGATATTAGCTTCAAGCTTATTAGATATATTTCGTTTTCTTTAAAAAAACTAGTCAAAATTCATTTTATCACTACAGAAACATTCAAAAAATAAAAGAGTATTTGTTCACTTTGGTTTAGTTTTAGTGTCGAAGAAAGCAATTTCCAACCAATTACACGCTAAGAGGTTCAATTCACTTGGTGTTGTTTTACTTGTATCTTCCCAGTTATTTAGGATTGCAAATGATCAGTCTCTTATTGGCATATGGGCATCCTGTATGGATTGCCTCAATATAGCCTTAATTTACAAGCTTTTGAACAAAAGATGGATAGTGGCTAGCAGTGGAATCGAGGACGCGCGATGGCGTTTGAAGCGAACTGTACTGGGTTCGAGTCCCAGAGTGAACATCAACTCAATGATGCGTGTACATCCAGCTGACGAATACTAAATAGGACGAAGTGCTCGTCCTGTACTCCGCTTCTAGCCACTATCCATCTTTGCTTAAAAGGATCAACTCTAAATTTTCAAAAAAGACGATGTTTTCGTTTTGACACATCTTGAGAATATTATATAAACGAGCTGTGAGCTTTCATTGAATTTCCATTCATTCTTATTTAATTTTATTGTACTGGTTTAGATATTTGTAAGACTGTCTTTAATGACAATTGTTATACTTCCAGAAAAATTATGGTGACAAAAATCCATGATGAACTTTTTTTTTAATTTTTTCATTTTCTTTTGACATATAGAAGCTTTTGTAAACGTCAAACAGAATCAAGAAAACAAATGCGTAACGATCGTGATTCAGCGTTACAAATCAATTTTCCATATGATGTTAATGAAATACAAGTTGCAGATAAACTACCTGTACCGAGTACAACATATGGCAGTAATACACATCCTGGACTAACTAAAAAAAGAATCGGTATTTACAGATATAATCGTATGCCACAACCACAATATAATTCAATGCAAAATTATAACAGAGTATTTAATGCTCAAACATATCAACCATCTACTGTTTTTCTGATCGACTGTCAAGACACCGATCATTCTAAAGAATCGCATAATAAATGGCTAACAAATCATGTGAGTGAAAAATATAAAAATAGTTGTTTTTTGGAATAATTTTCGGTTTGTGAGATCGTGTTTTTTCTATGAATTCTTGTTAATGTGTAACATTATTAAGAAAGAATTTTCCACATCTGTACGTATACAGTTTAAGTTTACTGTGTTCGTGCTTTGAATGATAGAAAATAATTACATTTGAGTCTTCAATACTTCTACATATATTTCCTCAGTCTCCTCATTCAATCTATCATAAATATTATATTTTCTGTATTAATTAGTTCATTATTTTGTCAGAAATTGTGTGGTACCTCTAAAGCAAGAATAGTATCTCGTTGTTTAGGTTTCACAATATTAAATATATATTTATAGAGTTTGTTACGATACTATAAACTATGATAGTTGTATGACTAATAAACAGAGATAATATTTCTGGAACGGTTATCATACTAATGCCAACTTTTGGTTTTCATTAGTTTTCAGTATACTCATTGACTTTGATAACTGTATTGACGAAATTATGTTTTCTCATTATGTTATTTATGAATTTAACGAAATTCATCTTCAAAAGTTATGGAACAGTATGGTCAGGTTTAAAATATTTAGACTGATCAGTGTTAATTTGGAATATATGGGAAATTTCATGTTTGATTTCGTGTAATTCAGTCAATATTCCGCTACTGTTAAGCGAATGATGAAATTATGAAATATTACCAAGGATGAAAGATTACGAAGAAATAAAATGTAAAGAAATTGACTAACAGTAGTATCTTTGAAAATGAAAAACCTGAACAGATGAATACAAACACAACTGGATAACATTCTTATGCTCAATGGTGAGTAGCTCTAAGGTAACTTTCATAAATTTAGAGCAAAAATCCTGTTTTCTACTAAATTAGGTCATTAGCAGGGACATTACTTACCTTGATGGTGTGATAATGTAATGCAGCATATAAACTACAAATTCTATGTGCTAGACGCCATTCAAGATTATGAACATGGACCTGTAAGAAGCGGTGAAATTAGAACGAAGAAGTTGAGAAGTGTTTCTTGGCTTTTACCAGCAATATCAGACCGTAGTGTAAACGATTGTTAAATCGGATATATTTTTATAAATCCATTGAATGAAAATATAAGTGGATGATATAAATAAGTTTGACTATATAATAAATATTGTGTAAACTTAATATTTACGTTTAGATAAATTGTTGTGCAAATATTGTCACTAAAAGGTTGAAATTATCTGCTTTATCTT